TTATTGATTGAATACAGAGTAAAAACCTTTATAGATCTTTGGTATATATGTTGCAGTAAAGTAGAAATGAAAATAGGATTAGGCTTGCTTAAGGTGGATTTTCAGTGTCGAACTAGGATTTATAGGATGGTAGATATCTGTTTAAAATAAGGAAGGCTGTACAAACTAATAGAGTGCTCTGGAATTAATTTTTTTAAAAGCCCCTCAAGATTTTAAGTTTGCCTTTGTATGTTTAAGAACAGGTTAGATAAATAGAGATTGGTCATTTGTTAGTGGAAAGTTGTATTACTTTTCTATTGTATGTCATGAATTATCACAAACTTAGTGATTTAAAAGAAAACACCTACCCATTTATTAGAGAACAGTTCTGTAGGTCAGAGTCCTACTGGTGTGCTATGCCTGGATTCTCAGAGTCTCACAAGGTCAAATCAAGGTTCCCTGGGGAGAATTCTCATGTGGGGTGAAGGTTCTCTTCCAAGCTAATATGGTTGTGGCAGAATTCAGTTTCTTACAGTTGTAGAACTGAGATCCCCAATTCCTGGCTGGCTTCTGGCCAAGGACTGTCTAGCTCCTAGAGAGGTCCTGAATTCTTTGTCAGGCGGGCCCTTCCTTCAAAGCCAGGAGTTGAGAAATATTTGTACATTGAATCTAATCTCTTGCTTAAAATACTTCCTCTTTGGTAACTAGCCCCAAAAAAAACCAAAAAACAAAAAAAAGTCTCTGCTTTTAAAGGACTCGTTATAAAATCAGGGCCCTTGGATAATCTCTATTTTATTTTAATAAATTTTATTTTAGTCTTTATTTTTTAAGTATTTATTTACTTATTTGCCTGTGCCAGGTCTTAGTTGTGACATGTGGAATCTAGTTTCCTGACCAGGGATTGAACCCAAGTCCTTTGCACTGAGAGAGCAGAGTCTTAGCCACTGGACCACCAGGGAAGTCCCCTCTCCTTATTTTAAAGTAAACCAATTTGGATTCTTAAGTATAGCTGCAAAATTTTTTGCATCAGCGCCTATATCAGTGTTTGGTTGAAAAACTGGAAGAAGGCATAGAAGAACGAGAAAGTGACACTCAGTAATATCCGACTCTTTGCGAACCCATGGACTGTAGCCTACCAGGCTCCTCCGTCCATGGGATTCTCCAGGCAAGAACACTGAAGTGGGCTGCCATTTCCTTCTCCAGGGGATCTTCCCCACTCAGGGATCAAACCTGGGTCTCCTGCATTGCAGGCAGATGCTCTGCCATCTGGGCCACCAGGGAAGCCTGGAAGAAGGTGTATGTCCTGAAATTCTTAGGGAGATGTGCCTCCATAAAGGTCAGACATAAAAGCCAGGTTGATGGAGATCATCTCTGAGCTGCCATCAAATTCTGATTCTGTGATCTTCTGATTCATCTGCCTGGTCTATGGATTCTACCACCAAAGTAGAACTGAAAATTCACTTTTTTCCTGTCACTACCATCTTATTTGGAAATGGCAACCCACTCCAATATTCTTGCCTGGAGAATCCCATGGACAGAGGAGCCTGGTAGGCTACAGTCCATGGGATCACAAAGAGTCGGACATGACTGAGCGACTTCACTTTCACTTTCACTTCCACTATCTTATTTCTTCTTTGCTGAACAAATCAAATGGTCCATGAATTTGTCCCTTTACCTATTTGCGAGTATGACTGGATTTGAAAAAATGTACTTCTGAACATCTCATTCTGACAGCTTGGTATAGCTTTCTATTGCTGGACAAGCGATCTATAATCTTGGGACATAGTATGTCCCCAGACTCTCTTTGTTATTGCCAATGTGAATTATAAGCCATAGTCAAACTTGATTTAGATCACATTACCCTCCTCTTCTTGAATCTCTGCCTTTATAGTTAGTGAAATCTTCTCTGTTCATATGTAGCCTTTCCTCTTAAAATTTTTTCTGAACCCCCAGATCAGTCAGGTTTCTTTGCTTTGTGTTAGAGTAGTTTGAAAATGTATCTTCTCATCAAGTGGTCTGAATTAAAATTTAATGGCTGAAGGATTTCAATAAATAATAGAAATTCTACTTTTTAGCCAATTATGAATTATGGATTCTTTCTCTGCAAAGGTACGTTTTCCTTAAAAATAACTTTTTCTCTAATTGCTCTTATACATAACTAAACATACAAGAGGGAGTGTGCTGTAAGTAGTTTAGTAAGTATTCTGTTTGTAAGGCTACTTTTTAGAGGTTAATGTTCGATTAAATACAGTAAGATATGATAAAAACTATTAAATATTTGAAAACAGGCTAATTGCATATGATCATATAGCTTTAAGTAATCTACTATTTGTTTTCTATTGCATTAGACTTTTTCTTCTCTTCCAGGTTTGTGTGTACTCAGTCGCTTAGTCGCGTCCAACTCTGCTATCCCATGGATAGCCTGCCAGGCTCCTCTGTCCATGGGATTTCCGAGGCAAGAATCCTAGAGTTGGTTGCTATATCCTTCTCCAGGAGATCTTCCTGATCCAGAGCTCAAACCCATGTCTCCTGTGTCTCCTGCATTGGGTTCTTTACTACTAAACCACCTGAGAAACCCCTTTTCAGATTTAGGCAATATTAATATATAATCTATAGGTCTATAAAACAAATAGAAATAAATATGAAGTTTGAGGCTTTGCCTGTGCAGGATGATAATATCAACTATTCCAGTTTGTATCTTTAAAAAAAAGAAAAAACACTTTTTTGACTTTTATTTGACTAACTTGACCAAATTGATTTGCTGTTTCTGAGCCATGGAAATAAGAGTTGTGATGTACTATTGGATAAGACAATTAAATGCAGATTGACTTGGCTATTTACTAAATTTTTTAATGTTGATATAGCTATTTGTGGGATTGACTTGTGTAATACAATTAATATTCACATTAAAAAAATTGTAGATAATGCTGTAAAAATTAAAGAGAAAATTCAAATTTTTTTAACTCAAGTCCAGACCTCTGTACAGAACTCCAGACTCATGCATACATCTATTATTTGACCTCTCTGGGTATCTGAGAGGCAATTCAAAGTTAACATATTCAAAAGAAATCCTTCATCTTACTCTGCACAGCTTACTTCTTGTACAGTCATCCCTTTCTTGGTTAACTGTGACTGTATCTTTCTTTTTGCACCTGAAGACCTTAGAGCTTTCCTCCACTCCTCTCTCTCTCTTATACCTCATATGTCACGTGTCAGCAAATCCTGTCAGCTCTCCTTCAAATTATATTCAGAGTCTGAATACTTCATTTCTGCTGCTGCAGTTCTGCTCCAGGCCATCATGATCTCTTATGTTGACACTGCAATAGCTCACTGATTACTCTGTTTTCACCCTCTCTCCCTTGTCCATTCTAAACAAAACAGCTAGAGTGATTCTGTGAAAATGTATGCCAAGTGAGTCATACCAGTGTTCTACACTTGGTCATATACAATCTAGTTTTCAGTGTTTCTTTTCAGATCTCACCTCCTACTAGCCCACTGGCCTATTTTTAACTCTTCAAATATTACCAGGCATGATTCCAACCTAGGAGTGTCATCATGCATTTCCCTCTGCTGGGAATGTTCTTCCTCAAAATATTCACATGGTTAGCTTCCCTACCTTCATCAGGAACTTCATGTCTCCTCATCAGTGAGGCTTTCTCTCTGACTACTCAGCTTAAAATTTCACTGTCCTTGGGAACTCTTCTTCCCTTTCTTATTTTTTTCCATAATAGTAGTCATCATGCAGGCTTCCCTGGTGACTTAGTGGTAAAGAATCCTCCTGCCAATGCAGGAGATATAGGTTTGATCTCTGGGTCAGGAAGATCTCCTGGAGAGGAAAATGGCAACCCACTCTAGTATTCTTCCCTGGGAAATCCCACGGACAGAGAAGCCTGGTGGGCTACAGTCCATGGGGGTCACAAAGAGTCAGATACAACTTAGAGGCTGAGCACACACGCATGCAATCATCATGCAAAATACCGTTGGGCATCTTTGGTGGGGGAATTTACTGAAATCTGAATATGATATGTTTAGGAATGCATGAGTTTTTAATGAATACTTTTCTAACTCATTTTTTAATTTTATCTTTGATGTACATATTAACATAATGTTTTTATGAATAGTGTAATTTTCATACAAATCCCTGTTTTCATCTTCCCTATCTCAGTCTTCTTAGCAAAGGTCCTTGCACACATGCAAGGATAGGCATGGTTGAAGAAAGTGCTCATATCACTTAAGTCATTGTTCTTTTATATTTCCAACTATAATACACTTAAATTACTTTAATAAGTGGCTACTTCTTGAAAACAAAACATAAGCCTGTGTATTTTGATTTCCTAACACCAACCCAAGAGCCTGACACATAGTATGCGTATAGCGAACCAGTAGATAATGTGAAATCTGATAATGATCCCAAGTAGGACCATATGACTGTAGGTGATATCTTATTCTGTGTGTTAATGTCAGTGTGGTTGATGATGTTCTAGAAAGAGTTTTACTAATTTTAAATATGTGCAAAATAAAATAAAAATTACCCAATTATATAAATTATTAATTCAGTCAATAATGTTCATTTAAATTATTTTATAATCAGTATTTACTGTAACATGTGCTTATATCTATCTAGTCATTTAAGTATAAGAATGTCTTTCTTGGGAATTGAATAGTAAAACTCAGACCATACCTCTGAAAATACATAGGATTATATAAGCATGCAATTTTCCTTTGTGCCAGTGTTTAACTTACCTTATAAGCACCTTGTGAGTAAACTTGGGACCAAATTAGGAATAAAAATATCACAATTGTTTTGTCCCCTAACCCTTAGAATCATTGTTCTCTGAAGCATTACCTTTCCCCTTAAGTTTCTGCTCATTAAATGTGGGCGTATTAATCTAAGGGCAGTTGTAATAAGAGATCACCACTATGTGCATAGTAAAAAAATATTTGTAAATCCTGTTTCTTCATCCCATTTACACAGTGTTCAGTAATTCTAATTGTTTTCATTTTTTCCCTTTAATTTTTAGTTCCCAGTGTTCCCATGAATATTGCTTTTTCTGATGTTCAGTCAACTAGTGCAACATTGACATGGATGAGACCTGACTCTATCTTTGGCTATTTCCAAAACTACAAGATTACCACTCAACTTCGGGCTAAAAAATGTGGAGAATGGGACTCTGAAGAATGTGTTGAACATCAAAAAATTCAGTACCTCTATGAAGCTGACCTAACTGAAGAGACAGTCTATGAATTGAAGAAATTTAGATGGTATAGATTCCAAGTGGCTGCCAGCACCAATGCTGGCTATGGGAATGCTTCAAATTGGATATCTACCCAAACCCTGCCTGGTCGTAAGTATCGTCCTGTGTATGTATGTATATATAATTTTGGATTCAAGAAAAAGCTCTTTAAATGTTTTTCTATAGAAGTCATTCAGAATATAGGTAAAGATTGCTTTTGTTACTTTAGTTTTATATTTTAAAATTAACTGGTTGGCCTACTTGCTTAAATAACATCATCACCATCATAGCATTTAATTTTTATTGAATTGACTCTTAATGGGAAGTTCAATTTCAGTCACTATTTAGGGCTTTTCTCAAACTGCCGAATTGTATCAAGGTCATAGAGTCTTACATTGCAACAAAGCATTATGGTCTTCTCTGTGGTTTCTCATCAGGCTGTACTGATGGCCACTGAGTACCCTTTGGCTTTGCCTACATTTCCCCTTCATATCTGGAAGCTCTGCGGCTTTTAAGTCAGGCTTTACCACCTTGTCAGTGATTGTAGGCTTATGTGCGTGCATGCACGCACACACACACACACATACATTCATACACACGCACAGGGAATTTCATTGATGCTATTGTAGATCTTTATAAATAGTGAAATAAACTTTGATCCAGAGCTTTTATTATTTTGGGGTCACTAAATGTGTCTCTTGCTACTATTCCCAAGGGTACCTAGAATAATGTTTGTATGGTAAATATTCAATGAACGCTTGTTAATGCAATTAAGCATTTGTGATAGAATCCAGACACCTCCGCCTTCAGTGCGAGTGTCCACCCTCTCCTCTGTGGCCCGTGGACTCGGTTTCTGTAAGGTCTGCCCGCTGGCTTTTCTCTTACCTCTCTGATAGCTCTTTCTCAGTGTCCTTTACTTATTCTCTCTCTTTCTCATTTTTCAAATCTGTGTTGAAGTGTTCAAAGATACATAGTTGGCCCTTTTCTTTACCAATGCATAATACCTAGGAGATCTTATCTTAAAAGACTTTATCCTGTCTGATAGCTTTAAAGTCTCCTTATATAGTGATCATTCTCAATATCTATTTCTAGGTCTGACTGCTCCCTAGAACCCAATCAGTGTACGTACCTGATGAACTGGCATCATTGGGCAGATGTGTCTAATATCCTCTCAGAATTAACATGGTCTAAACACTAAGCCTTCTCAGCATCCAAATATAGAAAAAGAAGCTTGCACTGTTCTTTCCGTCCTCTACTCCGCTAATGACTTAGTTTTACCATACTGTCCAAGCACATCCCTCCTCTTGCATCACTATTAGTCCCGTCCTTCTTCACTGCTACAACTGCCTTAACCGAACTGACCTCCTTGGCTTTCAGACTCATCTTTTAAAATGTAAATCAGATGATGTCACTTCCTTGTATAAAGCTTTTCCACGAATCTCCATTACTCTTGGAATACAATTCCAATTTCTTAACATGTTTAACAAAGCCCTTATGTGACTTGACTATTACCTCTCTAACCTCATCCTTTATCATTTCCCCATTACCCATTATCCTCCACTCATACTGGGTAATTTTTGTGTTGCTTGAACACACTGAAGTCCCAGAACCTGGGGCTTTGCATGCCCTGTTCCTTTGCATTGGAATGCTTTTCTGTGTCCATCTTTGCATGAGCAGCTTTTTATAATGTATACTTCTGCTTGAATGATTCCTACTCAGAATGAATTTCCCTGACGACCCGATCTAAAAAAGCTGTGCAGTATATTTCAAGAATATCATCTTAATGAAAATGTGTAATTACCTGATCACTTTTATTTTTATGTATTTGCTTATTTTTAGAATTTGTCTTGATCATTACTATTTCCTTGTTGCCTAGCAACAGTAGGCACTCCATAAATATCTCCTGAAGGAGTTAAACTTGATTGAATAAGCTAAAATGGATGAGGGAGCATGAACTGTTTTCCAAAGCAGGGAATAGAGAGGATGACAGTGCCATAAACCAAGAAAAGGAAAATATGGAAAAAATCAAGTTCAAGCTGTTTAGTCAATAAGTATAGTTATGTTTACTCTGTTAACTTGAGAAGAAATAACTCTTACAATCTAAGTGACTAGAAAACAGAAAGAAACAGGTGCTTAGAGATTAGAACATGGGTAAAGTTAGGAATTTTAGTTGCTTCAGCCAATAGCAATGATCAGAATTACAAGTGAGAGAAAATGGGACACTGAATTAATACATGTTAAAATCACAGGGACAACTGTTACTGAAGACATCATATAGGTACCATAATGAATGAAGCAGACTGCTGATGCACGGTGGTTGAGAGAGGTGAACACCAAGGCAAATTAACAAAATGTGCTGCCTATGGGGCAACCGCTACTCACCCCTGGCTGATTACTGTCTTACAGAGAAGTCATGCTATTAGGATGTAGGATGTGTTCAGAGAAATAGGAAAGCTAAATTTTTTATGGTGAAAATACTCAACTTCTTGTTGTAACAAGTTGTTTTAAATTTAATAACTTTCAGTTTTTCATGTCAGACATGTCAGTAGTCCAAATCCGGCCTGTGGGCAGCTAATTTGCTACCTTTGGTTAAAATGGGCTTCCCTGGGGGCTCAGATAGTAAAGGATCCACCTGCAATGCAGGAGACCTGAGTTCGACCCCTGGGCTGGGAAGATTCCCTGGAGAAGGGAGTGGCTACCCACCCCAGTATTCTTGTGGACAGAGGAGCCTGGTGGGCTCCGTAGGTTGCAAAGAGTCGGGCACGATTGGGTGACTCACATTTCATGTTACTTACTTTGGCTAAAATCGACCGTATGCCTGGCCTGTTCATCTGCTGCCCCTGAGGCTTCCCGCCCTCCTCCTCCTGAGCATCTCACTTGGATAGTAGCTGCTGCTTCCTCCTACAGCGAGCCAGGAATTGGTGTTTCTAAACGCCTCATCTCCTTGAGCTCTCTAGACAGGGTGGTAGTAGATGTTCGGTTAGCACTAAACAACTTACCTGATCAATTCACAAGCTGGTAAAGGAAACTAGGAAGTTGGATTTTTATGGAACCCCACATTCTTTTTTTTTTTTTTAAGTTACATGCTTTAAAATTTTTTTAATTTTTATGATTTTATTTTTTAATTTATTTGGGGCTGTGCTGGGTCTTCATTGCCGTGCAGGATTCTTTTCTCTAGCTGCAGCAAGCAGGGCCTGCTCTCTGGTCAGGGTGCAGGGGCTCCTCATCGCGGTGGCCTCTTGGTCGTGGGGCACGGGCTCCGGGGCGTGCAGGCTCCAGTAGTTGTCGCACATGGATTCAGTAGTTGCAGCTCCTGGGCGCTAGAGCGCCTTCAGTAGTTGTGGCGAATGGGCTGGGTTGCTCTGAGGGATTTTCCTGGATCAGGGATTGAACCTGGGTCTCCTGCATTGACAGGTGAGAACCCCACATTCTTAATTCTGAAAATTTGGGAGTCTTTCCACTTAAGTGTCATTGCTTCTACCAGAATCCCTTCTCTCCCTCTCCACCCTTAAGGTCTATGACCCACTCACTAGAATTGGGTCGTTTTCAGTTCTCTGCTATGCTACTTTGCTCATTCTGGTCTAAAAGAATGGTGGTAGACTACTTCAAATATTTTGCAATTAGTGTGAGCTTTTTTTTTTAAATAGCAGTATTTTTCTCATTTTATTAGAATGTATTCCTTTGCCATTGGTGATTGGTTGATTAGTTTGTCGGTTCTTGATGCATTGGAGAGGATAATCTTGGCTTTTTTTTCACTCCAGCTCCCAGATCTTTACTTGATGACTAATCCAAAGAGTACCTTTGTGTGGAGTAGCAGTGTGAATTTTATCTGACACTTTTCCTCTCCCTTAGTCTAGTGTCTCATTGCCACAATTTAAATTCTCCATCAGAGAATAACTGGCTGTGAAAAATACTAATAGATTAATAGTAAAGTAGACTTTCTCTACTACTTTTATCCCCTTTTTCTTTATTCTTAAAAACTAATTTCCTACTCAGTTTGTCAATAAAATAGAAAAGAGAATACAGTTGTGTTTCTACCACTGTGATTAAGAAAGAAAAGTGAAAAGATTAGTATATTTCAGAATTTGTGACAACAGACATATTATTTTTCTTGGCATTCTCAAACTAACTAGCTTTTCATCTGAGTATTCATATGGGGATGGGAAAAATAAATTAGTTTTGAAAGTTATAAGAATGAGTTGGTCACTCTTCATTTATAAATAAATAAAATAAATAAATAAATAAATTATTTATAAATAATTTTCATAAATGAAGTCAACATTTTTCTAATGATAAAAGAATTTTACTTACAGTAAAAAATGTGTTATTATATTAAGCCAAAGAGAGATACTCTGAGGTGGCATTTGATATGAAAGATGAAAGTACACCATATATATCATTACAAGACAGTATATATAGTGAGCTAACATATGTATAAGAATAAGAGAAATTAGAATAGTCAGGCATTTTTAAGATTAAATAAGTAAGGATTAGATGTTGATTCTGCATACCAAAGCTGAAAAGCATTACAGACATTTTAAAAACATAAAAGGTAATCTGGATGAAGAAATTTATTATGTATCTGTCATTGATTCAAAAAAGTATTATGTCATTTTATAATATAAGAAAATAAAATGATGAAAATGAGTCATTTCTGTGAATTAAAGAAAACATTAAATAATATAAAATCAGTATTTAAAATTCATGCAATTTATTCTAATGGCATCAAGTTGTGCTCAAGCACTTACTACCAGAAACTCTTAATCAAAACCTGGAGCTTCTTTGGTAAGGAGCTAGTAATTGATGACTAGTTTCAGGTCAAATGATTCAACATTTGAATAGCTCAAATAAAAAGACCACCCATTTGGAATAATATTATAAAATATTCTAAAATGGCTTATAGAATAAGAATATATATTGTATTAACTCTCTCTGAGCTCATAAAGAACACTCAAATTGAAGATGCAGGGAACAATGAGAATGCAAGCTGAGAATTAAATTGGGTTATTTTCTGATTCTGGATCTACCTCTGTACACTGAAGTGAATAAAAGTAACAATATTCAGCCAACTCAAGCAAACATTTCTTTCTCCCACCTACTCTGATAATTGA